AGAGGAAGACCAAAGAGGAGATATATGGATGCAGTGAGGGAGGACATGCAGATAGTTGGAGTCAGAGTAGAAGATACAGAGAACAGGGAGAGATGGAAATCACCCCCTGATAAAAGGGACAAAGCCGAAAGAAACATTGTTGGCTGCCAGTGTGCTTCAGTTGGGTGCCATCATGTGTGATGCACTGTGTGGTTTGGCTTTAAAAAAAATCAGTTCGACCTCAGTAAGCACAACCAGAAGTAATACATAAGGCGCACTGTCGATTTTTGAGAAAATGTACAGGTTTGCCTTATAGTTTGGAAAATACAGTGACATTTTTTTAATTTAAATTTATTTGCTTGTCAAAGCATAAAGGGCAGAACAATTCAATTCTGTTCTGCTAGGTGGCGGCAGATGGCTATGAAAACTAAAAAATAATAATCAGAAGATCTTTGTGAGTGTCTTTCTTCAATTCCTCCCAGTATATCAGCAATGCCTTCAACTAAACAGTCTAAGATTTTAGTCAATGATGAGGTCATTGAAACTAGAAGATTATTATATTTGCTTACATCTACTTTTTGTGAGATTTTTTTTCGGTGGTGTGCCGTGGGTTTTCTCCTGATGACATATATGTGCGTGTCTTAAAAAAAAAGATTGGGAAACACTGATACAGGTTTGCCTTATAGTTTGGAAAATACAGTGACATTTTTTTAATTTAAATTTATTTGCTTGTCAAAGCATAAAGGGCAGAACAATTCAATTCTGTTCTGCTAGGTGGCGGCAGATGGCTATGAAAACTAAAAAATAATAATCAGAAGATCTTTGTGAGTGTCTTTCTTCAATTCCTCCCAGTATATCAGCAATGCCTTCAACTAAACAGTCTAAGATTTTAGTCAATGATGAGGTCATTGAAACTAGAAGATTATTATATTTGCTTACATCTACTTTTTGTGAGATTTTTTTTCGGTGGTGTGCCGTGGGTTTTCTCCTGATGACATATATGTGCGTGTCTTAAAAAAAAAGATTGGGAAACACTGACCTAAACCACCAACTCTAGACACTGAATTTGAGCAAAACCATCTTGACATTTTTCCACATTAATAATTCCATCATTTGGATTTGTCACGAATAAAAACAGGTGTGAAAAACATAAGTATATCTTCCTGCTGCTATTTATCTTCATAATAATTCATATGAAATTCATATTAGATTATTCTGCGATTAATCTGCTTAAAATAATTAATGCAATAATCAGACAGCTCTCCCTTCTGCAATATCCATTAAAGACTTACTCCACTCCGCTGCGTTCTTTCCATTTTTTGTGATCTCCCAGCTGAAGACAGCCTTCACCTTCTTCACCAACTCTGAGCCATGCTCCTTGATACGACGTCCGATCTCCGCAAACACCAGCTCGCTCTGCAGATGCCCCTGAAAAGAAGTGAAAGGAATGTTGTGATGAGAAATGTGGAGTTCTATTTTCAGTTCAAAGTGGCTTTGTCTACGTTATCTGAGCGGGTTTAAAGTGAAGCAGTCTGTGAAGCTACATGAAAGAATGTGATCAAAGAGAGAGGAGAACACAGTTTGGAGTGGATCCGTCTCAGGCCGACATACTTGAGTGAGATTTTCTGGAGAAGCATCTGACCCTTCGTGTAAGTCCACATAGGCTCCTGACAGCACGACAACGCCAGTCTCCAAAACCTGAATTAGAGAAAACAGTTATAAAGTGTCACATCTGATTTGACCAGTGCCAGTATCGGTCTGACTGTGGTTCACTCAGAAACGGACCTTGGAAGAGAAGTGAATCCTGTTGCCTTCCTTCCACATCTCCGTCGTCAGGGACTGACCAGGTATCATCATTTTTGAAAAGCGAACCTGAGAAAATAATTTATAAAAGGAAGATGTTCAGTTGAATTGAAAGAGGAAGCTGAAGCCTCCACCAACACACACGCTGGGGGGTAAAGATGGTCTCAATGAAAAATCATGCTACGAGCAATTTACAAGCAAATGTGTGGACTGTAACATTTTTGGTGAAACAAACACCTAAACGTGTTCCAACAAGTGTTTCCAGTGTTTACAGTGAGGATTCCTATCAGCAACTGTTCACTCACCTTGATAGCCTTAAATCTAGAAGGGTCATTGTTTGCAAAATGCTTAAGGACTTGTCTGGCTGCGAAGCCGAACGAGCACAGGCCGTGAAGGATCGGTGACTTCAAGCCTGAGTAAAAAAAAAAAAAAAAAGGACTGTGTTAGTCCAGTGTGTGACAAAAATATATTATTTTTAATTAATCACCAGAGAAGTATTTAGGTTCGCCCAGAATAAACTAACAGGGTAAACAAAGAAAACTCATCAAGGTCTAACTAAGGCCCAGACTCTCACCTGCCATCGCAGCAAAGCTGGGGTCGATGTGAAGAGGATTAAAGTCGCCAGACAAACGGTACAAGGCTGCCTGAGTGCACAGGAGACACATACATTAATCTATGGCTAATCCATAAACCATCAAACTTCAGATGTGAGATACATTTACATCGTCATGATGGCAAATACAAGAGGCGCATAAAATAACATGCTTTGATGTTACACGCCGTAGACATCTGAGCAGCTGAAGGGGAAGTTCTTCAATCATTTTGTTTGTATTTTAGCCTCTTGGCATAGACTTTTTTTAGGCAAAAACAGACCATATTCAGGATCATTAACCAACACCAGATCCCCGTACACTTCAAACCTGGTAAACACCCTAATACAACTACAGTTTTTGGTTTTATTTAAAATTGTTTTTTCATTAATTCATAAACTAGGTGTGTTCACTTGTCTTACTAGAGCTCATATCATATGTAAGATAATCCAGGAGATATTTTAAAAGCATTCATCAAAACTTGTCCCCATGACCACATCATGATGTCTGATGCTACACTGGGGTTTTGTACTGTGACTGGCTTAAGAAGTAGTTAAAAATTAAAAATTAAAAAATAAATAAAGTTTCTATTTCCCCACTAACAAATTAACACAAGTACAATCACTGTCCTCGCCCCATATTTTTTATTACATATACTTTTCCTTGCAACTGATGCCCAGGCAGAAATCCTTCTACTTTTATCCACTATAGCATCAAATATTAAAATTTCAGAATAACTCACAACATGTGTAATTATTGTAGTTAAAAAATAAAAACACACTACTCATTTTTTCAGTAAATGGCTTGGAGTTAATGCAGTTTGAAAAACTTTCCCTTGAGTAAAACCACATTTGATGAAAGTTTGGTAGAAGCTTCAATTCTTCATTTGCTTCATCCAGCATCACCGTATACTATTACAGTACCATATTAATGGGGCTTTCGTGTTTGACTTGACATTAGCGCCGTCATCTGTTCCTAACTGCTAAGCAGAGTAATTCCAGGCTTGTTATCCAAAGAACCCACCTGGTCTGTTGAGCAAGTGCCACTTTCCTTTGCCTGAGAACCTCTCGTTAAATGCAGGACTTCTGCAGGTTACTCTGTTGCTTTAAGTCAATACAATCTTACCAATGTGTCGACATTAAACCAATGTTTCCAAATCTGGAATGTTTTAAATCTAGTTGTAATTTTATCTTATTTTAGGTGGAGACATCCAGTTGTTGTGCTGTGCAAAAAAGTCAATTCACAGCAACAAACCTATTCAGAAACACTCACTTGGTCCACTGATGTACTCTCTGTCACCACAGCATCAGGAGGCCTCTGAGGTGGAGACACCGTGTTCTGGAGAAAACAAGAAGGAAATAAAACAAATGACACTGTTATTAGCAACAATTCAGGCTAAATTATCATTAATTTCAGTCCATTTCATTGGCGTCCAGATATTTACTTTAACTTTATCTGAGTTTCTCTTTCCTCCAAAGCCTCCAGCTCCAACCACAAATATTGTACTCTGATTGAAGCACAACAGCTCGTTGTCACAGTAGGTGTGAACTGCCAAAGAGAGAAGACGTGGACTTCAAACCACAACAAGAATATAAATATTCAGAAAGTACATACATCAGTCTAAGCATGAAAATAAAGATTTAATAAAAGGTCACTTTTTAACCATGAAAATATTTATGTATTTAAAATGTATATGTTTACAGTCCATGTTATCAAATTATTAAACTTAGCAACAGCAGTAAACACAGTTTAAAACAGCTTTAAACTAATAAATGTAGCTAGTAAATGCTTAAAGTAACCATGGAGGTAGTTAAATTACAAAAAGGCTTCTGGTAAATATTTAAATTTTTGTGTAATTCTCCTGCAGAGTTACTGGAACGTTTGGGGCTATTATTGTGTCACATTAAACTAAGAAAAGCAGAGAAACACTACTTACTCAGTATGTAATGTACACTTTTGATTTTATGACATCAAGTACATGAGTACCAGCTCCTGCTCCGGCTAAATTTCTTTTATTACAGTACAATTAATGTCAAATTAAAGAGCAGGAGGAAACAGCGAGGAGTAAATTAGCAGCTGCCAGCAGGCATTACCTGAGGTCTACAGTCAGCAGCCAGTGCTGCTTAATGCAGTCACAACTGTTCAAAACAGAAGCAGGAACAGAGACAAACAGAGCAGCTTCTTCAGGGAGTCAGAGTGATGTCCACGACATGACTTGACTGGAGCAGTATAACAGGGGCTGACAGCTTTGGTTTTGTATGAAAAAATAAACTCTCCCTTCTGTAAATCCATGTATTAA